AGCCCAATTAGAAAACTACATGATGGTACAAAATTTGAAAAATAAGGTTTTGTACTTAAAACATTTTTTTAAAAGGCAATTCACAAGGAAAATACTGCCCAGAAATGAATCAGAAATGTGTAAGTGTACGTATTTTTGGGCAGCGCACACTTTTTTTAAAATGAAAGCTCTAAAAACAAACAAAACAAGAATCAAGGGCACCCAAAGATTTCTCATTAGGTTTATCAAGGTCAGATTCCCCCAAAAAGACAACAAGAATTGGTACCTGTGTAAAACATACTAATTTGGATGATGGGATTACACACGCAGTTAGCAAATATGTGGATGACACCAAGTTGGGGGGAGTTCCAAACACTCTGGAAGGTAGGGCCAGGATCCAGAATGACCTGGATAGACTGGGAAAATGGTCTGCATTCAACCAAATGAAATTCAACAAGGACAAGTGCAAAGTCTTCTACTTTTTGAACCTGAAAGCTTGCTTAATAACTATTCTCCAACTATTTGGGTTGGTCTAATAAAAGATATCAAATTCACCCAAGGAGCCTTGTCTGCCTATGTCCTTAGACCAACACGGCTACAACCTAAACCCCTGCAAGGTTCCACTTGGAATTCGATAATTTCATGCACAAAGGCAGTCTGGGAAGTGACTGGTTAGTCTTCATACTAAGACCTGGGGGTTATAATGAACCATAAACTAAATATGAGGCACCAGCGTGCTCTGCAAAAAAACCCCCATAAAAACAAAAAACAGGCAACAGCATACTGGGTTGTATTAAAAGAAGTGTCACTTGCAAATAAATGGAAGTGGTTCTTCCACTCTTACCTGGCAGTGGCAAGGCCCTCCTGGAGTACTGTGTCCAGTTTTGGGCCCCACATTTCAAGAATGATGCGGACAGATCAGAAAGAGTCCAGTACAGAGCAACAAAAATGATTAGAGGCCTGGAAAAGCATGAGTTGTGAGGAAAGAATTAGGATTATTTAGCCTGGAAGCAGAGCAGACTTGAGCAGGGCACAGGGACTGGGGCAAATGAAGTTGTGCGGGGCCCTGCCCCAGCCCCAATCCCACGTGCCCTGGATGCGAAGAAGCCGCAGGCACCATTGGTAGCAGTACTGGCAGCAGGGGAGGGGTGGTAGTGAGCAGCCGGATGTGAAGTTGGCGGCGGCAGAGCAGAGTCACCATGGCCACTCTGCTCAACTCTGTGGGGCACCCCCCAAAGCACAGGGCCTGGGGTGGTCACCCCAGTTCGCCCCCACCCTAGGCATGGCCCTGCCTGGAAGAGAAGATGGGGGGGGGATTTGAAAAGAGTCTTCAAATACCAGAAGGACAATTATAGAAAGGATTTTTTCTCTGTGGCTATGAGAGACAGGATTAGGAACAATGGCTGCTGCAGAAGAAATTTAGGTTGGAGATTAAGAAAAACTTTCTGACTGTGAGCGTGATCAAGCATTGGAACAGGCTACCTGGAGAAGTTAGGAAGTTTCCATCCCTGGAAATTTCCAAGAGCAGATAGGACAGACGCTTGGCTGTGATGGTTTAGTCAGGGATGATCCTGCCTTGAGCAGGGGGCTGGTTAGATCACTTTGTGAGCTCCCTTCCAGCCCTACACTCCTATGATTTTAAGAGCCTTTAACCTTCTCCATTCTATTATACATTTCCTTAACTCTCCTCCCTCCAGAAAGTAGTAATAAAAATGATAATAGATTCATAGATGCTAGGGTCGGAAGGGACCTCAATAGATCATCGAGTCTGACCCCCTGCATAGGTAGGAAAGAGCGCTGGGTCTAGATGACCCCAGCTAGATGCCTATCTAAGAAATGATCATGATAATTTTAAAAGATCCATTTTTCTCAAACACTAAATGTTTATCCTATTTAGTGTTTTTAATACTTCAAAAGTTCACGCAGTACAGAAAATAACCATATCCCACTTCAAAAACGTTTTCTGGTAATAATAAGTTGTGTCAGACAACTGACAAGCTCTTTCCCAGGGGAGCTACAAAACTAATCCCAGAGAATGAACACTGAAAAGAATGCAATTACTTTAGAAAATATTCTTACTAAACAAGTAATGCCATAGTCACATTTAATAATGGAATATCAGCTTAAAATTCATCTTAAAAAGGAAATCTTTGCTGCTTAATCACAATAATTAAAACACACTGACATATTCTGCCCTTAGATTTCTACTTCATGGGCAAGGTTTAAAAACTTGTTAACTTTTTTTCCCCGTTGAGAAAATGGAAATTACAAGTAAACTGACATTCAACAGCTGACGTTCACTGGCACCTCATGTGCCACTGGACATTTATATTACTGTCATTTCAGGTCTCTGAGTGTATATCCAAACCCTTTTTTTGCTTTATGAATTACAGGAACAGGTGTAGAGAAACATGCCAGGAATCAGCCTTTGACCTAAATTTAACTCCCATGTTGCTAAGAGCTTTATTTAGTGGTTATAGAATACCATAAGGCTCAAGAAATGCAGACTGCTGCCCCCTAGAGACATTCAAAATTTAAATTTAAACCCATAAAGAACTGATCCCAATGTTTTGCACTTAAGTCAGTGACAACTGACCACTGTAGTTAAATTTTAAAAGGCTTAGTTGCTGTACTTTTAAGAACACCTAAAATTTCATATTTTAAGAATTATTTTTTAATTGTATATTATGGACCACCTCCATTAAGAAGTATGTCCAACAGTTGCCATTTAAGATCTTATGTTTAATTGCTTGTAACTTCAACCATTTAAAAATCTCAGCCTATGATCTGTGTTTTTCTTAGGGTAAAGGTGAACTTTAAAACAACTCAGCAATTCCTGAAAACAGGGCCAGGAAGGGGACAGGAGGAAAGAACCAGACAGATTTTGCCCATTTTACAAACCTGGCAATATTTTCAAGTTTGCTTTAAAAAGCTCTAGCACCCCCGTGTGTTGAAGCAGGGGCTACACATTCAGGCCAGGTACAGACATTCAAAACTCCTAAGACAGAATCAATTTAAAGTTATACCATTTTGTGCAATCAGCATAGTTTAGATTGGTAGCAAGCAGAACACACACTCGCTCGGCGGGGGGAGGTGGGGGGGGGTGCATTTTTAAACCAGTCTGCGCACCAAACTTCTGTTCTGTTACAGGTACAGACCAGTTTCCAATCATTTATACTGATAAAAATGTAATGTCTACA